AAGTGCTTGCTTCTGCAATTCACCGTGCCTGCAAGACCGAGCGGGGATGCATGGATTCTGGACGATGACAGAAGCAAGACAGATATGATATGATACCTCACTCTTCTATCGCCTACCGTCTCGCAGCACTGGAAGCTCTACCCATCCTCCCGTGCATACAAAGGTACATGGGCTACATTGAAAATCCTTGCTTGTGCATAAGTGGCCCGCCATTGTCGACCAGGGCTGCCTCTCAACCTTTTGTCCGCGTCCTAGGCCTATCTAGTCTGCTTGCAAAGAGATCACGGCGCCTAAGCGCCGGCTATATTTGGACGAGTACCGGCGCCCAAGGTTGCTGGCCTCCAGCAAATCGCATGGCCCAGTACCCTGCGCGGCTCCACATATGGAGCTTGTGCGGCAGTATCCATGGGTGGCCTCGACCGTTGACTGGCTGGACGAAACGACACCATCTGCGAGTGTTTGGCCGTCTGTCCAATTGTTCTCGTCGTCTTCGCGCCGAGATCATGGCAGAAAGCGCCAGCCTCAGGCGCCAATAGGAGCCAACACGGTCGACTCTAGCAAGCACTGCGGCCAGCGGTGTCACCCTGTCCTCGTACCGGCCTGTGCTTTGAAATATGCGAGCAGCGCCCTGTCTCTGTTAGGCGGTATTGTAGAGTGCTGTGGGACTGCTATTCTTGTCCCCCGCAACGTCCTTTTGCGAGCCGGATCGGTGTGCTCATCACATCGCATTACAGACTAGCTCTGGTGCTGACTACCGGGTGGTGGTCCCTGGCTCAAACGTGCAGTCGTATGCGTGGTTTCGCCCGCAGCACCTCACGGCCGGGCCCTGAAGTGCGACCTTCGGCCGCTCTCATGAGGAATACTTATCAACCGTTAGCCGCCCACCGAGATGCAGAGTTCTCTTGCCCCTTTGCGACCTCTATCTCGTTTACGTGACATCTACTCCGTATCGAGATTTTAATTCCCTTGCTTGGTCGTTTCCTTTTTTTTCTCTTGCGTCTTTGATTATACCTATTGTTACGTTATAGAGTTGCTTCGATCTCTCTAGAAAGATTGCCGGCGACGGCTACATTGCAAGAAGCAACTCTGCTCTACAACCTACCCTTTTGAAGAGCTATCCCCAAGTTTACCCTCGCTGCTTCTATGTATTAAACAAGCCGCCTGAGCGGACAATTCATATAGAGAGAAGACAGCACCGAGTGCTGAGGAAACATGGTATGGTGGCAATTGCTCTGATTTGCTTTTGACACGTTTTGTCATTCGGCCCCGTTACTTACTTGATATCACATAGAACTACACATCCTTTCAAGCCGGCGAAAGCCGCACATACCAGGAAATGCGCCAGAGGCCTGCTCCTCGGGACACCTTTTTTAACCTCAAGCAAGAGCCCCAGCAGTTTAGGCCGACGTCTGTGGCTACAGAATTCGTGGATACGGATTGGGATGGAGAAGAGGATGAAGTGATTAGTGAGCCGGAAGATAACTCACCGCGAGTGAGCTTGCAATCAGTAAGTGGACCATCTTCTTTCTCTAACTCATTCCCTTTCCTTTGAAAGCAGCAGCTCGATGCTAACGTCGGGTTCGTCCAGTCTGGGCAGCCGAGTTTCACAACCCTTTCTTCGTACGACGAGGCCCCCACCCCCCGTTCAAGCAGAGGCCCGCAAGTCTATCTGGAATATTCCCCAAAGCAAGTAGAAGGGCCTCGCGGGCCGCACCTCTTTCGATTCCCTGCGGATCAGTACATGAAGTATCCGCCAGACGAAGATGTAATCCTAACATTGTCGCCCATGACTCCGCAAGTGCCTCGACGAGTTTCAGGTCATCAATTATCTCGCCGCAATAGCCCCTTCCAGTACACTGATGAAGACCTCGACACATCAGAGCTGGCATCATGGACCCCCGAGATGGTAGCGCAGTCGATGCTCAATGCCGGTTTGGAGCTGGCGGTCTCGGACCGATTCATTGAAAATGACATTACCGGAGCTATCCTGATGACGTTGAAGTTTGAAGATCTAAAAGAGCTGGATATCTCTTCTTTCGGCATTCGGACAAGGGTATGGCATCAGATTCAGGCATTGATGGATAGCAGACCTGCCTCGCCCCGAGCCTCGACTCCAATTGAGGATAAGCCGAGCCGCGAAGCTAGGAAGGCAGTGAAGAAGGATAACTCTGGTTCAGTACGGCGCCATGAGAGCAAGCGCAGACAACGTCGCGGCGTCAACGACCCCATTACGCCAATGGAGTCTGTGTCCATCATTGGCATCGAACAAGTCATTCCAAAGCCTCACAACTGTTCCAAGGGTGAGAAGTGCTCAAAGTGGAGGAAGCAGCAAAAAATCATTGAGGAGTTTCAGAGATTGAATCCCCACATCGACATCAACACAGCCAGCGGCGCGGTTATTTATGGTGACGTAGGAAACCCCGACACGGCCAGGGCCTTGGATCCCAATGAGACGATGCGGCCATTTTCTGATTCAGTCCCCTCTGTGGTGGCATCTTCCGACATCCTCGGCCCCGGTGGCCTACCACCTCTTCAGTATCTCCAGGAAGCGACTCTTCGGGGTGTACAGGCTCGCGATCCTCAGGACAACGTCCGACAATTCCTCAACTTTCAGCAAACCAATGATGCTTGCGCTGAAATGCCGATGACTCCCCCATTTGAAGTTACGCCGCCTGCACAGCCTCATCAAGGCCTGCGACGTCTGCCGAAGCTATCTATCCCAGCAGGGCCTCAGGCTGCACGACAAGCAGCTCCTCGAGCCTCTGTGTCACAGCAGGAATCCCGCCGCTCCTCTCCCTTGCAACAAGAGTTTGTACCATACCAGATGGACAAGGCAGACCCCATGTCACCTGACTTGGAAACTGCTAAGAACCCGTACCGATTTGGAACTCCATTCTCTGAGATGGATGTTCCCGTCACTGCCGTGCCCATTGGACCTGTTGCTCGTGATACCTCTCAGTCGGTGCCTCCCGACATGAACTACCGAGCTGCTCCCACCGCACTGGGTCACACTCGATCCCAGTCGCGAGCCTCTGCACGTCGCCCGTCGTTCCCTGTCCTTCCAGCTTTGGACGAGAATCGGGCTACCCGCAACTACCACAGGAACACTTCGCCAAAGACGGCCTCTCCTAGAACCCCAGTTCCCTCTCAGCACTTTCAGCAGCAGCAGCAGCAGCAACCCCCTCAAGCTCCTCCTCGCTTCCACTACCCCTGGTCTCCTGTTGACCGTACTACATATGAGACTGCTATCCCTCCCATGCCTTCACTACGCCCTGGTGATTCTCAGGAAGCACCTGCTGCCATGTCTACCAGCGGCGTCAGCTTCCAAGGCCCCATGAAGAAGCGCAAGATGCGCATGCTTCGCCATGAATGGCAGGACGGTTACTTTACCTTGAAGGGAACCCGCCTGAACATGCACAAAGACGCCCAACAGATGGACCGCACACTTGAGTATGTCGATATTGATGACTACGCAATTGCCTGCTCCAGCCTCGCATCTACCTCAAAGCTCTCTGCTGCATTCAAGGCTGTCTCCATTTCACACAACCGTGACAAGAGCGACCCTGTTGGCGCTTTCAGCTTCCAGCTGATCCCTCAAGATAAAAACGGAGCACGCCTTCGTAAGCGTGAGAGCTCTCTCCAGCCCAATGCCTCGGCAGAGGGTGTCAATGGCACTGGCAAGACTCACCACTTTGCCGTCAAGGGCCGCGATGAGCGTATTGACTGGATGCGAGAGCTCATGTTAGCCAAAGCACTGAAGCAGAAGGGGGATGGCTTTGAGATCAGTGTCAACGGTAACATGATTTAAGCTATTTGAATCACGCTTCGATCTTTTTTTTTTTTTTTTTTTTTGATGACTTTTCTTTGTCTTTAACGATTGAATGATTATGACCTGTTTCTTATATTGTTCTCTATCAAATCTCTCCCTTCTCAGTCTCTTTGATTTGTATACTTCTCTTGCGTGTAACAAAGCACTCAAGTTGCCTACGTTCATGCACCCAATTTTTTTCCTTTTATTCTTTAGCTTCTCTTCTCTCTACAACCTCTTCTTCTCTTCTTGCATAAGACAAAAAATCTGGTGTGTGTGTATGCGCGTGGATCCGCAGCGAAGGATTTGATATCCATTTTTGTTTCTATTTGAGGGATTTAAGATTGATGATACCTATTTATATGTTAGAAACCTTCCTTCAAGGGATTATGATGACTTTGGAAACAAAAAATTATTTCATGCCGTTGGTTTGGAGACTTTTTTTTTTTCTTTTTTTTTTTTTTTTAGCTAGTGGTAGCTGGTTTACATAAAATGAAAATAAAAAGAAGAAAATTAGCATGAAAGCTGTGTACGTCTGGTGTAAATCGTGAACAATGACTTATTTGTGATTGTAAATGGCACAACTTGGCTCTCCAATGCGGCATTTGTGCTTTGCGTTGGTAAATAATAACTCGAAAGACTCCTTCGGCCATGATGTTAATTCGGTGAGAGGAGGTCTATGAAGACGAAAGAACATATAGTAATGACAGTGAGTGAGTGCACGTTATCCATCGGCTATATACAGAAGCAATCTCTCAAACTCAATGAACAAAGAAGTTGTATTTGGAAGGTCTAGGGTATGAGCCCTTCCATCTATTCCCCCCTCCCCAAAGAAGCTCTAATCATCAGCATCAACTCAATCGCAAAATACCCCTCTCATCAACGAAGGGTCATCTCTACTTCGTGTGATTTCATGTGTTTATTGTAGATAGAGCATAGTAAATATATATATGTAGTACTTTTACACTATCTTACATCTATTCCAACCCGCATCTCTCTCTCATACGATGTCTTTCCCAATTATCGTATGCTGAGGGTAGGGCCTTCCAACCATTTATCTCTTCCGTTTTTAGTAATGACACATATATACGTTAAATTTCGCTCCCTTTCTCTTTTGCTTCTTTTACCCATATCATCTTTTTTTGGTCCTCTCTTGACATCAGCCATCCAACATACCTCTCTGTATTTCTCCTTATGGAGATGTTTCTGACAGAAACTCGGGGCGCGCCACGCCAGATCTCTGGTGCACCTTTTCCCAATCAATCAAATTCCACCAAGACTCGACAAATGCAGCCTTTCCACCATTCCCATCAGCTCCCACGCCCCAATCCAGCAGCCAAGCATGCTCCCACGTATTAAGACACAGCAGCGGCTCCAGCTCAATACCCCCCGGGGGCAAATCGCCCACCCTCCTCCTCGCACCAAGCGCCTGGTTGCTGTAGTACTGCCTCGCGGATCCTTCGTTGCCAACGGTGTTCATATCCGTGGACTGCACTCTCCAGTGAGCACCCGGGTAAGGTGAACCGGCGAGATAGGTGGGCAGCAGGCGGTAGTCGCCGGGGCCGGCCTTGACGAGCCACAGGAAGCCCGGGCCGAACATTGCGGAGGCGGTGGCGACGAACTCGCGGCGTAGGGTGTCGATGGAGGAGAAGGAGGCCTCGAGCTCGCGGCGCAGGTCCTCGGGCATGGGCGTGCCGGCGGGGGCGATGCCCTGGAAGAAGAAGTGGTTGTTGTGGGCCATGGAGGCGTAGTTGAAGATGGCGGCCTGGTTGGGTTCGCGGGCGGTCATGAGGAGGATGGTTTTCATGTCGCGGTCTTCGAGGTCGGTGCCTGCGATGCAAGTTAGCAAAACATATATATATATGCAGAGAGGAGAACTTTACTGACCGGCAACCATGGCGTTGAGCTTGTTTAGCATCAGCTTCATGTAGTCTGTCCACGCAATGGCGAAGCCGCCGGCGCTCATCAGGTTGGGCACGCCCTGGGAGTAGTCGTGAGGCAGCGCCGGCACCGAATGCAGGCTTCTCCGGGCAGCGTTGAAGCCGGCGCTGAAGCTGGTGTTGAAGCTGGTGTTGGCAGACGATGCGCGCAGGCCCAGGCCCAATGCCTGCTTGGGCGTCCGTAGCAGCCGCGTGCGGAACATGGTGGGCTGTGTGTGAATAAGGAAAAGAAGACAAAGGAGGGCAGTGACCGAGGAATTGGGAGGGGGCGGCCACAAATCCTGGGGAAGATAGGGTGGTTTGATATACCAATTGGTGGTGATACTCGAACTTTTTCCCGCCAAAAGTTGGTTGATTGGATTGCCCCACCATTAGAGCAGAAGCACCAGCCTCAATTGAAATGAAGCCACAGAAGTGGCTGGTGAATTGATCTCAAAAATTTAGAGACGGAAAAAAGGTTAAACCGGGGCCAGCTGACAGGCGACAAATTGAATCAAAGCGTCATCCGCAACCCCCGCCTGCGCCAAGCCCTTTCAATGTACCCGGTACGTAGCGCATGCCCCGTTGTCGCACCTTGTGCCGTGCGAGGGGCCCAAGTCTCAGGTACTCCCAAGTGCCGTGATTCAAGCAAGCGCCTTTCTCTGCTTTGCTTAATCAGTGATGTAACCACGGGCATTTTCTGGCTGGCTGAGTCTGCGCCTCTTATGAAATCTCTCCCTGTTTCTGTGTTGTTTTATATCTGTGGTGTATTATCTTGTTTCCTGTTCATCTCATCTTTTTTTTGCCCTTTTGCTGCTGCTTTTGCCATTCGGTTTCCACTTTGGTTCTAGATCAACTAAAACACTCCTCTCGTGACTCAAATTGAGCTGCACGACATCAGCTTCGAGGCTGTCACTGGACGATCATTCCCCGTTCCTTTCGGCTATAGTTTCGAAGGCGCACCGCCACTTCAGCGCGACGAGAAACCGCTGACCTCGCCTTTTTGTCTCACATCTCCTCTTCGACGTCCCTCCCCCCGGTCTACGCCCATCTCTTCTTTCTCCTCTTTTCTGTTTTCCATCTTCACGGCATGCAGTTTGCTCGTGATGCCGCGATAGGCGTCGACGTCCCTACTCCCGCACTTCTCACAGCCATGGCGACCCTCTCCACGTCCGTCATATCGTCGGCCACGGCCACCGCGACAGCCTCGCCCTCGAGCCCCTTCCACATCGACTCCTCGTCGGGCGAATGCCAGCTGCTCGGCCCGTTTGCGCTGGTGGTGCAGGCGGCGCTGGGCGGCCTGGCGATGCTGTCGCTGGTGTACAAGCGGTGGAGGGAGCACCCGCAGCGGCCCGTCAAGGTCTGGTTCTTTGACGTCTCCAAGCAGGTCTTTGGGTCGGTGCTGGTTCACATTTCCAACATCTTCATGTCCATGTTGACCAGCGGCCGCTTCAGCATCAAGGTCGAGCCGACCGTGGTGGAGAGGCTGGTGGCGAGGGGCGATGAATACGTGCCGAACCCGTGCTCGTTTTATCTCTTGAATCTGGCGATCGATGTAAGTATTTGGCTTTTTTTTTCTCTCTAGATCTCTGATTGCTAACTGCAAATCCCTTAGACAACCGTTGGCATTCCCATCCTCATTGTCCTCTTGCGAGTCTTCACCGCCCTGGCGACCTTCACGCCATTCGGCAAACCCAACGAGTCTATCCAGTCAGGCTACTATGGCAACCCTCCCAACGCCTGGTGGTGGCTTAAGCAATCCTTTATATACTTCGCCGGTCTCTTTGGCATGAAGCTCTGCGTCCTCGTCATCTTCATCATGATGCCATGGATCTCCCGCGTCGGCGACTGGGCGCTCGGCTGGACCGACGGAAACGAAAAGCTCCAGGTCGCCTTTGTCATGATGATCTTCCCTCTCATTATGAATGCTCTCCAGTACTACATTATCGACTCCTTCATCAAGAGCAAAACAGCAGACCATGAGGTTCTCGCTTCGCAAGACGATGACGACGATGATGACGACTATGAGAGACGAGGTTCGAGCTCTGGTGGCGTTCGTCGAGATAGCGAAGATGAGGAGACTCCTGTCAAGATCAATGGGCGGTCGCGCAACAATCTCGGCGGAGAATATGATCCCGAGGTGGACGGGGACGCTCCGACAATTGTTAGCAGCAGCTCAAATCAACCCGCGTCCAAGTCTAGCAATGTCTCAGTTGAACTATATCCAAAGGAGTAGCAGCATTTGTACTTTTACTCAAAAGCTTGTACATAACCGCTGCTACCACTCTCACTACCACCCTCACCTCTCATCATCACCACCACCACTCCAAGTCGTCTGGCAAAGGGCAGCTTTTTGGCACGCACTCATTATACCCTTTTTGGCGTTTATTTCTTCACCTCTCTGGGAGTTTGACACTGATTTCTTGGGGTTTCTTTCTTTCTAACCGTTGTCGGGGTTTTCATGTCATGTAGCGCTCATAAAGGATAGAACGGTTCTTTTTGCAAGAGGAATACACCACCTTTTCTTTTTCCCTTGAATATCGCAATTTTGCAACTCTGGTACTCGTAGTAGTTGATTCACGAAATGCCCGTGTCCTTGCTTGCGGCCTTCATCTACCGTGTTTGAAAGGCGAGAACCTCAACACAACTGAAGCTGGGCGGATGGTTTAGTGGTATAATTTTCCCTTAGCATAGTGCAACCTACGAGCTGCATCACCGCCTGGGAAAGGTCCGGGGTTCGATTCCCCGTTCGTCCAACAAAGTCAATTTTTCTTTTACCTTTTTCTTTTAACAAAGTCTGAGATTTTTTTTTGATCTAGCTGGTTTTTGTGATTTGACGTGCTTCGTGGTAGCTGTCTGGACTTTGATCTTATACCTGGAATTTTCTAATACTGTGCACAGTGCGACTAATCACTCAAGTCCAAATAACCATTCTTAATGCTAACCTTTTACATTGAAGAACTGGAAATCATGTTCATAAATGCCAAAGTAACGTCTCATATAGAATACTTTCTTCATCATAGTTACGGTATCTCCAATAACTTTAGGTTATACGTATAAAAAGCCCCAAACCATCAATCTCGCCCATTGGCATCTCCGCAAGAAGTGAACATATTGTAACAACGGGTCCAGGCAAACAGTGCCCTTCAAAGAATCATAAAAAGAAAATAGCCCAAGCAATCATACCCAACCAAATTTCGTCATAATGTGAGCAGTGAATATAAAGCACCGAAACATGAGGCTTTACTATAACCAAAAAACTTGACCTCTAACTGGTTGCCGATTTGCCCTTTAAAAAACGCCACGCAACCAAAATGCCCCTAAGATATATATGATACACCAACATACGTGTCATGTAGATAGAACCGAATTCAACATTTAGCGTTCCATATTCAGGTGGAAGCTCTCTTAGATACCACTCCAACCCTGTGGGGCCGGGCTGTAAGGCTTGAAGCCTGGATATCCCTCATGGTCCTCACGCTCGTGGGATTCGCTGGGGCGGCGATCGTAGTTTGGCTCGTCCTGAGGCGCGGGACGAGAGTAACCCGAGTTGAAGTCGAATCCCCCATTGTTGGTGATGGGAGAGGCCTGGCCATTGTGAAGAGCATTCTGCGGTCCAGGGGTATACGTCCTGAAAGGGACGGGCTTGTTTTGAGGCGTTATGGCGATATCATTATTGGGGCCCGGAGAACGTCTCTGGTTCAGGCTAGGGCCAGGAGACTTTCTCATGTGCGGATCAGTGCCATACGGGGTTGGTGAAGTCTGTCCGTCAAGCTCATGAGGGGCAGTTGGCATACGCACTGGCCCGGGTGTCATCTGTCTTGGAATGCCATAGTCGTGCTGGTTGGTGATGGGCGACTGGTGCCCGGGGCTGTGCATACCAGTCGTAGGGACTGCATGGTCGTAGGGTTGACTGGCGCTGAATCCATCTGCGACGTGGTTATCATAACCTTGGTTGGCTCCATTGTAGTGCTGATCATGCATGCCGTAGGCTTGGTCGTGTCCGTTGAATCCTTGGGCATGTCCGTTGTAGCCTTGATCGTGTGCATTGTAGCCCTGGTCATGTCCAGCAAATCCTTGATCGTGTGCGCCATAAGGCTGCTGCTGCTCATGGGCACCGTAAGCCTGATCATGACCTCCAAAATTCTGTTGTTGTGCCCCATAGCCCTGGTCATGTCCGTTGTAGCCCTGGTCGTGTCCGTTGTAGCCTTGATCGTGTGCATTGTAGCCCTGATCATGCCCAGCAAATCCTTGGTCGTGTGCGCCATAAGCTTGATCGTGAGCTCCGTATGGGCTAGCAGCGGGCTGTTGGCCGTAAGAGTTCATGTAACCAGGAGAGCTGTTTTGCTGCCGGTTGTAAGGATCATTTCGATCATTTCGATCATTTCGACCCATATTCCTCTGCTGTTGCTGCTGTTGTCCTCTGAAGCCGGGGCTGTTCATGCTCTGAGGAGCAACAGGCTCCTTCTTCGGTGGCAAAGTATCCATTTCGACCTCCTCTTCCAACACAATCTGTTTGGAGTTGGCCGTCTCCCAGCTCGGCATGGCAGGGAGGGCATCGGCATTATGCTTGGAGACGTCAAATTCGGCATACTGCGGGGGTCCATGAGACGCTGGCGTAGAGAAGGCAGGGACCGTGGAGTGCGATGGCATGTTGACAACCATGGGTGCCTCCTGTCGGTATCCTCCGGACTGCTGAGGAACGTATGGAGCCTCGAGTTGTTTGCGTGCCGTTCCGCCGGGAGCATCGCAGCACCCGCAGCAGTTACCGCAACACTTGAGGCAGTAGCAGCAACTGCAGCAGCATGACATTCCCAAACAAGTGCATCGAACAATGCAAATGATAATACTGAGAAGGATAAGACCGGCGATGATCATGAGCGCAATAGCAGGCCACCTATAAGAGGAGTATGGGTTAGTAATGCCATTGGTGAGATGACAATGTTACGTGGGAGTTGCTACACGTACTTGCAGTAAACGTGGGCCATGCACCCATCCCAGCTTGAAAAGGCTGCTTTGACGTCTGAAATCTTGTTATCAGCATCCGCGACAATGTCCCTCCGGATGACTTCGTTGGCGAGACTCCTGGCGATACTGTCTTTCACAGTCTCCCATAGCCCGCCCCGAAGGCTTCGGACCATAGCAACATCGACGGCAGGCATCGCGTGTGAATCGATTGATATCCTGTGAGAACTGATGTTTGTTCGTTCTTCTCTATAGATATGAGATGAATAGTAATTGAGTTGGTGGTGCTTGTAGCTCGTGGTGGATGTCGTTGGTTGTCAACTTAAGGAATGTCTAAGTCATGCTCTAACTGACAAGGCTTCGAAGCGAAATTAGAAACACACAAAATGCGGCTCAAAAGACGGTCGTTGGTCGTAGAAAATCTTTCAATTTCGAATTCGACGGCAGAATGATGAGACGAAGGCAATAGGCTATGTTTTCGCGAAGAAAAGATTGATGTCGCACACTGTATCGATTGTTACAGCACCAAGGGCAGGCGTGATTCTTTACCCCTTGAAATGATCGTCTTCTGTGTTATCGTAGCACAAACGTTGGATTTCTCTCGACGAGCAAAGGATTGTGAAGACGGTCGAAAACCGCCAAGCAAAAAGGATTGGCTTTAAAAGTTCGCGCGTAACGGCGAAGCTCACAATGTGTAAGAGAATCAAGGGCTGTGCAGCTGAAAGCTCGCTCGTCAAAACGGAATAAGCAATCTTATCCAACGGAGGACGCTGACGAGGCGGTGGTGGACTAAGCGCGCGCGCACAGTCTTTTTCTCTGTGGCTGTAATCGTCGTCGTGTTCGTTTCGGTTTCTGTATTTTCCCCTCCCAATAATAATAGAGATGGATTTGAAATGAGGGGCGGACAATTTGACAAAGAATCAATCAAAAGTCCAAAAAGAGGGAATGGATGTGGCCGTTGGTGCAGCTGGCCATGAAGCAAAAAGAAGGGAATGAGGCCTGGGAGGGCAGAAACGACGCTGCAAACAAGCAACCAAAAGGAAAGACTCTGGATATGAATCCAACGGGGAAAAAAGTTTGCAAGGTGCAGGGAAAGAAAGAAGAGAGAAGGAAAAGAAAATTAATCTGCCATCGCGCCGCATTGTCCGGGTAGGAAGGGGCGCCTGTCGCTCCAGCTTTTTATCACGCATCATGCACGTTTAGGACCACGTTAAGGATCCTGAGTTGGTACCATGTACTTGTGTTCTCCTACTTCTGGAGCCTCTGACTCTGGTACCGTTACTTGGGCACGCTCTTAGTGCTGCGAAGCATGCAGGGGCAATCGCGGGAACGTGCGTTGCAGGGGTTGCTGCGGCTGGTGCTGCTGGTTAGCGGTCGCAGTAGCAGTACTGGTCAAGCAGCTTCTCGTCATGAGCTGAGCCTCGTACCGGCTACCGCTGCCGTAGCACTCCATGCCCGTCAGCGGTGCCTGTACTCCGCAGAGCAAAGAGCTCGCCATTTCAGGTACCCGAAGGCGGCGACATCGTCTCGTCAGCTCTGCCCGCGCCACCAGCACTTGATACCGGAGCAGACCAGGGACGAAAAGCCAGAGATCCACCCGTCATCACACGAAATAAGCATCGACAAGAAGAAAAGTGAAAATAAGGAAGAGCAGAAAAGGAGTTTTAACGTCATCGGTTTCAGCGTATCATGATCCAAGCAGAAAAGATAAACTGACAAGTTAAAAAACGTTGCATGGTAACGGATCCATCAAAGTCTTGCGTGAGCCAAGAAGGGCAATTAGCACCAGGATCCCAATTCCAAATGGGCCGCTAGCAGAGACGGTCGTGGGGATGACAATTTGGACCCTCTTTTTCTTTCTTTCGTCTCTTCTTTTTTGTATAGTAGCATGTCTTTTTCTTCTTTTTCTGCTCTCTTTCTTTGGGATCTGTTTTTGCTGGCTACAGAGCAGTCCATCTCCCTCGTACAGCAGATTCGGCCGCCACGCTCTTCAGCTTTCATCCTTTGCTACCTCAGCTCTGCCCCCAAAAGCTTTAGCTCTGCGGGCCGTCGAACCCGGCCAATGCTTTTGGCGTAGACGCACGTCCTCACAAACAGCCTACTATAACGGACTGAGGCTTGCCTACTCTATCTTGATTGGGCTAGGTAGGAGAAAAAGAAAAAAAGGAAAGCCACAACTGTTATTCCCCTGAATGGCTGCACCAGCGTGGGAAAAAAAAATTTAAAATGAATAAAAAAAAAAGAAATAGATATTCAATACGTAAAAAGTGCTGAGATAGTGAGCGGTGCTATGTTATCCCTACTGCTGCTCGAAGTGGGTATCTGAGACCTCAAAAAGGAGAACGAGAGTTGCCCCTCGCGTTGCTAGGGAGGGCATCAACAACCATTATCGATTTTGAGAGTACAGAAAAAGACTGCATTGTATTAGAAACACTTTGATTGTGGAGATTGTTGATGCCGCTGAGGACAGACACTCGTAACGAGCATCAGGTAGAGACTCTCATTTACTTCGGTGGACAGAGCCACTCAACACGCAGAATACAAGCCAACGGCTGTAACGCGGCTATTGATACTTCACATGAACTCACAGTAGCGTATCAATTACGGTACCTGGATATGTAGAACATACAGTAGAGCCTATATCCGAGGTGGTACAGAGCAGAGACTAGACGGAATCTATATGCACTCGGCATCTGATGCATCTTAGCCACCATACAATCCCCGCTTCTGTGGCAAGGGAGGAGGCCTCCAAACACCAAACAGATCTTGGCTGTATCACCGCAAAGACAATCGCGAAAATCTCTGCGTATCGCAATTTCGTCTGTGCGAGTGTCGATGCTGTCGCCACAAACATTGACCATAATCACTAGAGAATGTAAGGTGAATATTAAAGCTCGATTGTCAGGCACAAATGGAATTGTACTAAAAATTAAGAAGACGTATAATACAGATTAGTCTGGCTCGCTGCCACTCAGCCGCAGCAAAAAGGTCGTGCTAGCTTGGTGCCGCCGCCTCGTCTAGGCATATCATGTCCGATCACAGCCTTCTTCCACTTCGTAAAAAAAGCAAATTTGGATATCAATCTCCCGTAGTCCTCTTGTCCATACCGAAACGCCGACCCCATTCCCGTTTATCTCTCTCTTTTTTTTCTTAGGTTTTAGAATTCATTTCGTAAACTGAGAATGAAATCTTAGCTTTCTTCAAGTCGTGACTGGTCAATGACAGCTTATTTTCCTGGAGGCGGTCCCGCAGGAGGTTGATATTCACCACTAGGGTGGTAAGCACTCTGAGGTTGCTGGACACCGTATTGATGGCCGGTGTTGTATCCGTCATTGGCATTGAATGTGGTGCCCGTTGTCTGGTTGCCCACAGGTTGCTGACCATACGGCGGAGGGCTAGTGTAGCCTCCGTATCCCTCGCCGTAGGCAGGCTGCTGATAGCCACCTTGGTTGTATCCAGCCTGCTGGTAGTTGTTCATCTCGTGGGCGTTATTGTATTTATTATTTCCGCTGTTTCCAGCAGGCTGGCCTTGAGGAGCGCCACTGAACCAGCCAGTCCCGTAAATGGGCTGCACACCGCGTCTACGGTTTCGTCGTGTGATGCACCTACAGCGATGAGTGTGAGTATTAACTGTGACCAAAAAAAAAAAATTGATTTGACGTGGACAAGGGAGTGTAGTGATGGTGGAGGTGGAACTTACAAGCAGCTGAACAAGAGAATCAAGGCCAAGATGATGGCAATACCAGCGAGCACCCATCGTCCCCAAAAATACCAGCCGCTCTTGCGGCGACATATACGTCCATCAAAGAAATATCCATATCCGCAGCCGTCGTCTCTGGCGAAGATGTCCACGGTCGGAGCCATGGCCGAATAAAGTAAAGGGAAGATGAAGATGAGAATCCCTTGGATGCAAAGCAATTTAGAAAAAGACTAATTCGCTAGATTGTCTTATCGTTTCCCACAGGAATTGACTTTCTTTGGTGGCGAAATGGTTGATGTAAGAGTCGAATGTAGATGAAAGATGGATGGTGGAAAGGAAAACAAAGAAGCAGAGGATTTAAAGGAAGAAGAAAAATAAGAAAAGGCGGCAAGGTTCCGAGGGATGCCCAGAGTTTAAAATTCGTGGCCTCAGTCCGCGCCCTGCGAAATTCCTGTCTTACTTGGCAGCTGCGACGTGCGTTGGTTGCAGCTCTGTATGACGTTGGGGATCTTGGGGCCTTGTGAGGAATCAATCAGAAGCCGGGTCCCGTCCGCCACCTTTTTTTAGACGCAAACGCTGTGGCAGCCACTGGGCTAGCGATAAAGTAAAGTAGAGCGTGCAAGGGTACCTGTAAGCAGCTTAATGCTTCTTAGGTAGGTACCTGCTTATATAGAACAAGGGACGCACAGACGAGTAAGAGACAAATTGGAGGCAAGTGTGTGAAGTGAGAAGAGACAAAGACAGAGAACGACGAAGGATACCCTCATGCCATTATATGCATGCTGCTCCGGTCCTGTCGGTGTTCACGCTTTCATGTCGTCGCCAAGCATCCAAGCCCAGCAAGCAGCGCCACCGCACCCACCCGCCACGCCAGCGTCCAAGTGGTCACTGGGCCCAGAATTCTGCGGTCTTCCAGCAGCACTGCCCACTGACACAACACAATGCCAGCAGCAGCGGGCATCGTCAGGGCCCCTAGCGCCGGCGCTGCTTATTGCTGATGCTCCGTCAACCGTAGCTGGTGATGTTGGGCTGTTGCTTTTTGGAATCCTGGTGGGTGCCTGCTGCTCTTCCATGCCATTTGAAGGAACAAGGACGAATTTGATATCAATTGACTGGGGAGAGCGCTGCGGCCAGATCAAACTCACCCAACGGGAGTGACACGAGATAGCTATCCAGCAACAAAAAAACATCATCCAACCAACCCGCCACCCAATCGCAGCATCCAGGCCACGCCATCGCCAAACAAAGCTGCACCCGACAAAGAACGGACTTCGGCAACGGACGATCTCAGCCGGTACTTGCCTGTCTCGACAGCGTTCCACGCGCAGCCATATTCCTACACTTGCGCTATGCACACACGAGCAATAAGGTTGATGATGCCTTTGTCTTTGGGCCCTTGTTCAAATACAGTGGCTGTGCAGAAAGAACTCCAGTCCCTTTGCCCACCAATCGGTGCTCTCTCTCCAGCTAAACAGCTTTCCCCAGTTCCCTCTAGCGGATCCCCGAAAGGCTCCAGGTGGCGTTGTGCAGCAACAAGCAAAAGACGAGACGGCGCCATCGAATCGTATTACGAGATATGGAATACGAAATAAAATGCGCAGTGAAGGCACAGTACATAGGTACTAAGAAATTCGTCATAGAGTCTCCATCTCCGCGTTCTAGAAGGAAAATCTACTCAAGTATCAACGTAAAAAGGAGCGATGGATTCGAGGCTAAGCACTGCAAACATGACAAATTTCTGGTTTCTCTTTTCTACCTAACTTACCTATTTGAAATACCTACATTGGGAAACAGTGAAAGAAACACAGCCATCGAGGTAGACGTTTTTAAGTTCAATAAATATGAGAATACACGTAATTATTTCTAGCTATCACTCTACCACGATTGATCTGGAGAATTATGGTCGGTAAAATAGGAATTGCCCAGATAGCTAGCAACCTGGCTGTCAGTCAGATGAATGCGTCACTCTCTACCGGAGCTATAGTCCGCTGACACACAGGCGCCGGTGAGAGCATTAAGACAGATATAGTAGTATGCTGTAATTGTATCTCAGACTACCTAGGTAGGTAGGTAGGTGGGCAGTATATGGACGCCCTATAAACAGCTTCCCCTTTCTCTCTCTCTCTTTTATCTCTATACAAAGTTTTTCTTAGCAATTTCACCTTTTCCCACTCTTCTGTGCAGTACTACTAGGCCTTAAATGACGTTCCGTCCGATCTTCAATTGTTAGCACTACGGGTGATGGTGATGCACTCATCAGGCCAAGCGAGCGTTGCCACGTCGAGCAAATATGACAATAAAAGAAACAATCTACTTTCATAGCATAATATGACTATAGCAGCCTCATCGACAAAGACGTTCTTTTTGAACCTGTGGAAGATTCTATTGATAAACCGCCTCCACTGTAATCAGCCAAGGTAGTAGACTTGCATGACTATTAATCTGGTAGAGTTTATACAAGAACAGGCCTTACAGTATATCCATCTTCTGGCGGCAATGTTCTTCGAACTATCACTCGCCGTGAAGCCAGCAGGAGCCTCCCTGATCAATTAGTATTGCCTTCTTACAATTGATTGGCGAAACACTCGTCGAAGAGACGGGGTACTGTTCGAAATGGCACGCTGTTGAATTAGTTATCGTATATCGTACAAGAGCTCCAACAGTATCCATTCTACAGTTAGGTAGAAGAAACAACCAAACAACAGAATTCGTTGCATCGTGTTCTCAATGAAGCAAAAAAACTCTCCCCAATAAAGGAAGGTCAAGAAATAGGAAAGATAAAATGCCCCAGTAAAAAATCAACCGTGTACCGACAGTGAAGGCAAACAATACGCCCTTTTCTCCCGTGACTCCATGCTCAATTCCGCTTGCGTAAAAGGAGGGTGGCTACAAGGTAAGAATATCCTCTTGCCGTGCAATCAAAGGCCCAAGAATATCATCCAAAGATACCAAAAAAGGAGGGTATAAGAAGCAGAATCCATCGTTCCCGTATCGATAACACAGGCTCCCATCGTTTGAGCCCAAGTCGTCCGTCCGTCATTTAATATACCGTATAATTTTTCAAGCCGTAGGTCGTTTTGACAAAAAGAATGGTGTATCGTTATTTGCTTTCGTTATCCTCATTTCCTTCTTTGCTCCACATGGAGAGACCAGAAGGAAAAGCGGGAGAAAAAAGAAAGAGAGAAGAAAAAGGATACAAAACAAAAGTCTGCAGGATAACGTTGAAAGACCAAATTTGACAGTGGCCCGATCTATTTGTTTTGTGCATAAAACAAGAAGAAGGGAAAAGGTAGAAAGTCGTCGACAGCGTTGGCATCTTAAACCTTGGGGAAAGAATAGCGGTTTCGTCGCATCTCGTCGGCCTTTTTCATGTTGAGTTCGGCAAATTGTTGGGCTTGCTGGCGTGCAGCTAGGGCATTGATCTTTTCGCGCGCTCGCATGAGGCTGCTATTGTCCTGTTGCTTGAGTTTGGAGCGAATATCGTAGAGGGCCATGAGCATATTAGCTTGCTCAAGGTCGTTATCGTACTGCAATATCAAGCCGCAGTTAGTTCTGGAACTGACCAAAGAAAAGTACAATGCTCTCGGCAAATTTGTGGCGCATCTTACATTAGAAGGTTGAGGCGTGCCGGGTATAGAGTTGGCGGCTGAACCAGACTTTGGTGAACTGATGAGAATGCGCCGACCCATCTTGTCGAATTTGGGCTGCGAGCCCGCTTCGGACGACCATGCCCGCCTCAGGCCAGATGATGGCCTCTGCTGTTGCTGGGAAGGCGTATGGGAGTCGTCTTTGATAAGCTGGGTCTGGATACTGGGGATGTTGGCATTGACAATGGCAGCGGCGGCCGCAGGCTCCTGTTGATGCGAGCGTCTGTCAGAAAGAGAACGTAGCAAGATTTTGAATATGAGAATTTATTGCAAGGGATTGTTATGGGAAAGGGCAGAGGACATCGGTAGTGTAGGAAGATGCAGTAAGACATACAGCTGCGCCGAGATTGCTCAAGTCGGCCAAGACCTGTGAAAGCTGCAGGCTCTCCATTTCAACGCTTAATAGCGGAAATATATAAAATGTTTATTTTTCTCTTTTATTTTTGTCTCGAGGGAGGAGGAGGAGGAGCGAAAAGAGGACGACGAGGCGAAATCTAGTAAGCTGCGATGGTGCGGTCGGTGATGTTGGATTTTGATGTTCCTCTTAGCGGGCGCATAAACGAATAACAAGATCGCGTGTGCGAGGAGCGACGGAGCGCTGGACCGGTAGAGTCGAGTATTGATTCGAGCGCAAGATTTGCAAGCTTGACGGTGGTCGAATACCTAGGTGCAGTGTTTGTTCCAAGGAGAAGAGGAGATTTGAGAGTGATGAGCGAAAAAATTTAAAAAGAGTTTGAAAGCAAGAAAAAAAAGCAAGAGGAGGAGAAGGCCAGCTAGACGGCCACAAAAGTTAAGAGCAAATCCCAGCGCCGCTGAAAACAGGAAGCCTAGAGCGGGGATCCGGCAAGCTTGCCACCGAAAGCATCTTGTAGGCCAAGAAACTGGGGCTTTTCCAGCAAGACCCGGCGCCTGTGCAGGTCAAAAATCCGCTAAAGAACCCCCCTGCTAGACTTTTGCCCTCTCCACAAATCCCGCGCTGGGGACATCTCCGGGGTACTGCTAGGAAAGGCAGTTTCACACTCTTATCAGGTACCTGCTGCGACATGTCTTCTATAAAGAGTTCGTATTACAGCAAGGATTTTCTGCGCGGTTCCGGAATATCCCCTTGGATCGTCTTCTTTTCCAGTAGATCCGATGGTCATCTTTTCATTCATTAATTGGATCTGAGTCAAGCGCATATCCAACTCCGGCCAACTTGGGATCCTCTTAAACGGCAAAAGATCTGGATTGGATTACTAAGGCGACGAGTTTTGTACTCTTGACTAACATGAAAGTACCGTGTCCGAGCTTAGCAGGCGGTCTTACACAGCAGAACACATTGCGCATCGCGTACGAGTAACAACACTGTGCATTGCTACGGCAGGGCGGTATTCGCCATTCGCCTACATCCTAGAGGCCGCATTACAGGACCAGTAAATCTGACAGACCGAAGCGAGAGGCTTCAGGGGGGGCTTGCTGCAGGATTACTCCGTCCGTCTACGAGCATGTTTTGGAGAAGAGCCGGCGGCACGAGACCACTTACCTGTAAGGAGTACCCATACAAGCAAGATACATGTCCTTGCAGCGCAGGGAGCAGTACTGGTACTCCGTACAGGTGTCTAGCACCATCGTATTCACCGAGAGATATAATAACACTCTAGGGAGTATAATGTCAAGTGTTGAGTGAGCAGATGCTGTATTATTAGACTTCAGCTGGACGCGTACGTCGTGCCATGAGACGATAAACAATGATTCAACCAATCTCGTGTTCTTTGTCCAACCCATTCACCCATGCCATCCACTCATCCTATCCATCTACCCGGATCGCTCGCCAAAACGCGGGTGCTACAACTGATGACCGATCACATAAAATTCCAAGTCACTTTTACCCCAACTCAAGCAAGCAAGAATGGGATGTCAAGGTTTTTTTTACTCCGAATTATTCTTTCGCCCATTTATCCGGCTCCAGGGCAAGCAGCAACTTCCCCTCACTCTGTCTTTTGCTCCGTCCGTACCGCACCGCAAAACCGCTAGAATATGCATAGCGCACCTACTTGCATCTGCGCCGACCGAATGGCTGCATGAGATTCCTGTTCATGCGCCCATCCGCCCGTTTCTCATGTCATTCGCTCGCTCGCTCGCAGGTTTTTTTTTGTTTGAGCGAAATATTTGCGCAAGAACCGCACCTATACAATACAAGCTGCAGAAAGAAAAAGCCCTACGTGCTCCCTTCTTCTCCTCCTCCTTTGCGCGCTGACATCAGCCTATCTGCAAAAACGCGTGGACAAGCCCAAGCACCTTTTCGATGATGGCACTGTGACGAGAGATTGGGTGGCCCTGGCTTCCCTACATAGATGTGCCTAGACAACCACTAGATAGCGAAACATCAATTAATCACTGCTTTACTAATTCATCAAGCAGCCAAGCGATCCGGCTTATCGCGCATCTGATCTCCATCTCCATCTCACGCTTTTACATCATTGCATGTGGTGCAACCCCAACGGCACTCAGCTTGGAGAAAGGGGGGAAGAGAGAATCACGTGGAACTCACTGCTCTTTCGAAATGACTGGTATATTTTGAGCCACCAATGATAAATTGGTCGTAGACTTTGGTCCTACCTACTAGTACCTAGAGGTAAGGCACCTTAGTGGTACTTCCAGTTACTCCCGAGCACCCTGCTTTTGCAACGCTCAAGTGAACAGTCGACGTCCGTTTACGCGCCACTGAAAATAGCAAAGCTTTGATAGACGTAAATGAATGATCTAAATCGCCTGTTGGTCCACAGTTATCGCTGATCAGTTGTCAATTGCGTTGCTTCTCCATAGTACATACGTCATACTAGTAGCCAAGGGACCAAGTACAACTCTCTAAAGCTGCCAGAGCCCATTTAGCTCTTGAATTCGCAACAGGCAGTGAAAAATAGAAGGGTTGCATGTAATGGGATGCCTTTCCTATTTGCGTGCGTGTTTATAGCTGATCTAAGCGGTACTAAAAACTCATATCAATAAAATCAATATCAAAAACTCGAGGATCATGTACCATCTTGTAATTGCCAAGTGTAATTGATACTTTGTATAACCCTACTGAATAATCCTATAATCGGTTCCCTACTCTGCACACGCCTGCTGTACCATTGTACAAGGAGAAACACCGTTTTTGTATGTTGCATGTCATCTGTTTGCCCGGTCCAAACAGCCCGCTAGTAAACACTCTTAAAATTCAGACAATCATTCTTTTTCTTCTCATCAACTCTTAACAAATGACCTAAGCCTTGGTAATTCTGCACACCAAATCAGAGCCATCAACAGAGTCGCCCTCCTTGACCTGGAGACTGGCCACCTTTCCGCTATGGGGAGCTGAGATAACCATTTCCTACAAGCATAGTTAGCAACATGCATTTTTTGGTTTCGCAAGAGAGAGGCAAAAGAAGAACTTACCATCTTCATGGCAGACAGAACAGCAAGAGGGTCGCCCTTCTTGACCTCAGAGCCTTCGTGGACACGCAGCTCAACCAAGACACCAGACATGGGAGCGCCGACCTGGCTGGAGTCGCTAGCATCAGCCTTGGGGCGGCTAATGTTCTCAACGGCAGCCTTCTTGTCAGCGACGGTAACTTGTCGGACTTCACCGTTCATTTCGAAGAAGACTTCGCGAAGACCGGTCTGTTCGCTCAAAGGACCGATAGCAAGAAGCTTGAGGATGAGAATCTTGCCCTTCTCCAGTTCTACGTTAAACTCCTCACCAATTTCTGGTCGAGAAAGGAAGTATCTGGTAGGCAGGACTGAAAGGTCGCCGTACTCGGCGGTAAACTTCTTGTAATCCTCAAAGACCTTGGGGTACATGACATGAGAGGCAATGTCACACTCCGTAACAGGCGCTCCGAACTTCTTGCCCAGCTCGCGCTTGACCTTGGTGAAGTCCACAGGGTCGAGGAAGAGACCAGGACGCTTGTCGAGCTTCCGTCGTCCACGGAGGGCATCTGTGCGGAGTGGCTCGGGGAAGCCGCCGTAAGGTTGGCCCATCATACCCTCCAAGAACTCAAGCACGGAGCCGGGGAAGTCGAGCTCGGAAGCGCGAGCCTTGACATCTTCCAGACTCAGCTTATTGGAGACCATGAACTGGGCGAGATCGCCAACAACCTTGGAAGTAGGCGTAACCTTGACAACATCGCCAAGCAGCTCATTGGCATGCTCGTAAGCCTTCTTGGTCTCGAGCCACTGAGATCCAAGGCCGAGCTGAGAAGCCTGGAACATCATGTTGGTCAGCTGACCACCAGGAATTTCGTGCTCGTACACCTCGGGGTCAGGTCCAGCAAGGTGGGCTTCGAAAGGAGAGTAGAGCAGACGCAGCTGGGACCAGTAGGTGTCCAGAGCTCGAACTTGCTTGTGATCCAAGCCGGGGTCAAACTCGCTGCCTTCCAAAGAAGCCAGCACAGCGTTGATGCTAGGCTGAGAGGTCATTCCAGACAGGCTGTCTGTGGCGGCATCGACCGCATCGGCGCCGGCCTGGGCACAAGCCACCATGGAGGCGACACCCGTACCAGCGGAATCGTGAGTGTGAACGTGGATGGGCAGATCAGGGTACTTCTTGCGAATAGCACCGATCAGGAGTGTAGCTGCGTGTGGCTTCAACACACCAGCCATATCCTTGATACCCAGAACGTGGATGTCCAGGGCAACCAGCTTGTCAACCAGGTCCAAGTAGTAGGGCAAGTTGTACTTCTTCTTAGGGTTCAACATGTCACCGCTGTAGCACACCGTTCCCTCCACAACACCGCCAGCCTTGTGGACAGCCTTGATGCCAACCTCGAGCTGGTTGATGTCGTTCAAGGCATCAAAGACACGGAAAATGTCGACTCCGTTCTTCTTAGCCTGCTCAACAAAGTGATCAATGGCATTGTCGGGCAGCGAAGAGTACGCCACGCCGTTTGCGCCACGAAGCAGCATCTGGAAGGGGATGTTGGGAATCTGCTGTCGCATCTTTCGAAGACGATCCCAAGGATCCTCGTAAAGGAAGCGGTATGCCACATCAAACGTAGCACCACCCCAGCACTCCAGACTGTACAGGTTGGAGAGCGCGTGGCTGGTTTCCTTGGCAATGTTGAGGAGATCAATGGTTCGAACTCGGGTGGCCAGCAAAGACTGGTGAGCATCTCGCCATGTGGTGTCCATGAGAAGACATCCCTTGTAGTCGCGAACAGCCTTGGCAAAGGCCTTGGGGCCCTGTTCAACGATGATGTTTCTCCAACCCTTCTGGCAAGGCTGGCTGACGTCGACCTTTTCACCAGTGGAAGTGAAAAGCTCGGGAGGAATGATTTCGCCCTTGAACTTGGGCTCGCCAATCTGGCCCTTGATAGAGCTACCGTTGACAGCGACATCTCCGAGGTATGCTAGCAGTTTCTGGGCGCGGTT